AAGGACAAAGGGAACGCTTCAGAGTGCTCATTTATTTCTTAATGGCAAAGACTCTACCTATAGTACATATATATACATATATATACATACATGTGTGTACATATACGTGTGTGTATATGTACGTGTGTATATACATGTGTGTATACATACATATATACGTGTGTATATATGTATATACGTGTGTATATATGTATGTGTGTATATATGTGTATACGTGTGTGTATATATGTGTGTGTATATATATGTGTGTGTGTGTGTGTATATATGTATATATTTGAGGGTGGGTCCGTTTATAATTCACAAATAAAGTCTGCAATCATCCAATCATCCTGGAGGAGGCTTTGTCATTATGCAAATATAAACAGATGAGTTCCTGCCAAAGCAAACCACAGAGTCCCCATGCGCCCTCCCACTTCAGGCCTTGGTCCACAGCCCTACCTCTCCCTGGCTTGGCTCTCCAGGTCCCCATCACCTCAGGATGAAACCCTTCCCTGCCACTCCCCCAGAAGAGTCAGAGGCCTCATGTGTACGCTCAGCAGCACCCTTGCACACCCAACAATCTACCGCCAGGCGACTGCTCACTGCTGCCCATGTCTGTCACATAGCAGGTACCCAATCAAGGTTTCTCAAGTGCAGCCACCACTGAGGACCCCTCCTCTAATCTCCTGTTCCGTGCCCCCCCTACAATACCATAGGACTGGCGACCCCTTGACCTCTCTGCACCTCAAACCTGCATCTTCTCCATCTCGGCATCCATGCCTAACAGTGCCTGGCACCTGGAGGGCTACAAATGCTCACTGAGTGAATCACTTAACAAATCAACAGAGGAAGTCAAGGCAGTAAAACTATTACCTGGAAACCACTGGAAACCACTGGAAGCCCACTGGAAGCCCACTGGAAACCACTGCGGCTTTGCTTGCATTTATTTCAAACAAATAAATGTGGTGGCTCATGCCTTTAATCCCCAGGCAGGCAGATCACCTGAGGTCAGGAGTTCGAGACTAGCCTGATCAACATGGTGAAACCCCATCTCTACTCCAAATACAAAATTAGCTGGGCATGGTGGTGCATGCCTGTACTCCCAGCTACTCCAGAAGCTGAGGCAGGAGAAACCCAGGAGGCAGGGATTGCAGTGAGCTGAGATCACGCCATTGCACTCCAGCCTGGCCAACACGAGCAAAACTCCAACTCAAAAAAAAAAAAAAAGAAAAGAAACTAAAGAGCAGACCAGGATCTTGACTAGCAGAGACAACTTCCAACAGTCTAACCAGGTAGGCATGTCCTGGAGATCCAACCCCTATGTCCAGAAACAAAGCACACTCTATTTCACTTGAAAAACTGGTGCTAACGATCCTCCCCAGGGCAGCTGTGCACACCCTCAAGGAGCTCCGAGCAGCAGCAAAGACTGAGGAGGTCACACTGGCTCTGATCCAGGGCCCACCTGGGGAAGCTGCAGCCTGGCATGTCAGAGGGTCTCCCTTTCCATGTGTGCGCTAAACTCTGTTTTTTTTTTTTTTTTTTTATCTAATCCAAATTCTTATCTAAGGGGTCTGGGAAGTCACGTCCTACAAACCATAAATTCTCATCAGATGGGTTTTATTTAACCCTATATATGGTGATTTACTTTCCAACCTGACGCTGGCATAACGAGACAAAGAAGAAAATCAAAATATTTCACCCAAAACATGTTTCTTTGCCATATTTTGAAATGGCCCTGCAAAGCTGTTTTATGGGGGAAAATCTGTATCTGTAAAGAATCTCTATTAACACAGCTAGATCTTTTTCTTCCAGACCCTCCCAATCCTAAAAAGATTAACTAAGATCTGAATAGGAAACATTTGTCATCTATTGTCTCTAAGGGCACCCACTGTAAGACTTCAAAAGAACTTTGGTCTCCACAATATTTACCTTAACTTGAACTTTCCCTTTCTATCTATCTCAGTTCTTTAGACAAACTCAACCAATTGTTAACCAGAAAATGTTTAAATTCACCTACAGCCTGGAAGCCCCTGCTTTGAGGTGTTCCGCCTTTCTGGACCAAACCAATGTATTTCTTAATGTATTTGATGGATGTCTCATGCCTCTCTAAAATGTATAAAATCAAGCTGCACCCTGACCACCTTGGACACATGTTCTCAGGACCTCCTGAGGGCTGTGTCACAGGCCATGGTCACTCACATTTGGCTCAGAATAAAACTCTTCAAATATTTTACAGAGTTCAACTCTTTTTGACACAGGAACCCTCAGCAGTGACATCTGAGTGGAGGGGAACAGCAAGAACTAAGCAGCGCCCACCCCAGAAGGAAGAAGATTCCTCAAAGGTCCCCAACCCACTAAAATCAGGAAGACGTCCCTAGAGCCCTGTGGCACATATTCTAGCATACTAATACCCAGGTGCCCAAAGGACTCAGCCTTCTAGAGAAAACCTACCTGCTTTATCTGACAGAGCCCTGACCGCCCCAATGGCTCCAGAATATCCAGCTTCTGGACCTGTACATCAAGACATCGTCATCTCTTGATCACCTTCTACACAGATGTGGGAATACTCACTGTGCCAAAATGCCAAAATGGAGTCCCTGCTCTGGTCCCCATGAGCTGTGACTTCCCTGTCAACCTACCCTCTGTATGGCTGGCTTCTGAAGCCCCAACAAACCCTGTGAGTTTACAATTATGGAGCCAAAGAAGCAACATTCCTGGGTATTACACAAAGACCGTGGACCGTAATATCTAATATCTCCAACTACAGAAAAAAGTCAACAACACTATGAGCCATGTAACAAATGGGCATATATACACACATAAATATGCTCACATGCATCTACATACATTGCTCACATGCATGTTAGTGGTATAATAGAACACACAGTCTTAGAAGATCAGCTCAGTAACTTTTGAATAATTCTATATGCCATGTACACCCAAGATAGGAAGAGATACAAAAAGTACCCTCAGGCCCCTCTCTAGATTTTTCTCCCAAAACACCGTTTTCTAATTTTTATTACCACAGATAAGTAACAAATGTTAATGCTTACACTTCAAACAAATGGAATTCTACGTACTCCTTTATGTCTGGGTTCTTTAGCTCAACATTTTGAGCCACATGAATGGTGCTATATCAGCAGTTTGTTACTTTCTATTGTTGAATAGTATTCCATCATATCAACACATCACAATGTGTTTATCCATTCTCCTGTTGATGGACATTTGATATCAACACATCACAACATGTTTATCCATTCTCCTGTTGATGGACATTTGAGTTCTTTGTTTCCAGGTTTGAGTTATTATAAATAAGGCTGCAGCCAGGCACAGCGGCTCACACCTGTAAAACCAGCACTTTGTAGAGCTGAGGTGGGAGAATTGCTTGAGCCCACGAGATCAAAACCAGCCCGAGCAACACAGGAAGACCCCATATCTACAAAAAAATATTAGTTAGGCATGATGGTGGGCACCTGCAGTCCCAGCTACTCGGGAGGCTGAGGCAGGATCACTTGAGCCCGGGAGTTGAAGGCTGCAGTGAGCTATGACCGTGCCACTGCAGTCAAGCCTTGGTGACAGAGTGAGACTCTGGTTCTAAAAAAAATAAAAATGAAGATAAATAAATAAATAAAGCTGGAATGAACATTCCAGCATGAACTTTTTTGTGAATGCATTCTTGGCCCATGGAATTTCAGCTTTGATAGGAGGCATTTGCACTTTTGAAGAAGTTGCACATGCCAAAGGCATCTTCAGGTGAGCCAGCAGCCCAGTGCCGTCCCCAAGCCTGAAGAGTGACACCTCTGTCCATACTGCAACTAGGAGGGAGAAGGCAGGGAAAGGCAGTCACGCCAGGGATTCGCCAAAAAAGCATTTAGTTTCTTTGTAGCTGCTTGAAATTCCTCCTCTGTCGTTGTTACATTATTCAGCTTTGATAAAAAAGTAAAATTGAAGATTAAAAACCAATCAAGCCCTCTGTGAGAAAAACAATAAAGCCTAGTGCCTGTTGGGTGTTAATGATGAACCTCAGCACAGGCTGCTGGAGAGGACTCCCTTGCAGAGACCCCTTCCCTGCGTCCCCCCGTCGGGTACAGCCTGTGCCCAGGGAGAGCCCACGTGCCCTCCAATGTAGGGGTTTCTCAGGTGACAAAGCACTTTGTCTCCTCCCTATGGGCTCTGGCCTGAGCCTCCTTTAGCATCCTAGGGAGAATGCCCAGTCTGGGCTCTTGCCCACCACGCAGATGAGAGAAGAGTAAGACAGGTGCCCCCGAGGGTGAAGAGATGAAGAGTGAAGAGGTGCCCCTCAACACCCCCGACTCCTCCCCGAGGGGGCCTCACTTCCACTGCCTCACCATAGAGTCCCATTTTCAAGGCTGGTGGCCCCCCACTGCTCAGGACATAATCCCTGGACCTCCGCAGACCAGCCTGGCCACTCCCTCTGAGCCAAGCACTCAACCTCTGGAATCGAGACATGGACTCGGCCCCAAACCCCTGCTCTGTGCCCTGACAGGCAACACGAGCTCTGGGAAGCTCAGTTTCTCCCTGCATGGAACGGGGGGATGACAGCAAAGGGGTCCCTAGTGAGTGTGTATCAGCTTCTATGTATGAAGGCCCATCCAGCTGGGGTTCACCCTACATGTGCCCGATAAACATTTGCTTAGATTTTCGGACGGCCTGAGTGCGAGCTGAGGAGCTGCTTTTCTCTCCCAGCAAGGCACATGGGTGGGGAGCAAGGATCTGCAGTGTCTTCCCATCTTCCTACTGAGTGGCTCAACCGGGCTCCCCTCCTGAGCCCCTCTCCTCCCACTCACTCAGCTGCACCAGGACCTGGTACAGTCACTTCTAACTAGGCAGAGGGTAGGTGCTAGTAGGCTGTAGGCCTTAGCACAAGAAGGTGCAAAGTCACTCTCAGATCCTAGAGGTCAGGACACGCACGACCTTCTGCTGGGGAAATCCCAGGCTTCCAGAAGTCCCGACAGGGCAGAGCTCTGGAGGGAGAAGTCTGCTCAGATGTGTTTGCACACCTCGGATGCTGAGTGCTGATGCGCTCTTCCGAGGCACAGGCGGCCCAGACATAGCCCTCTTGTTCCCAGGCTACAACTGCTGTGATCAACAACTGCGCGGTGGCAGCCTGGGCCTGGCCCAGATGCACCGGCTGCAGAGAAGCGGGCATTTCCATACTTGCAGACAGAAACTGAGCAGTGGCGGAGAGTTCATCCCAGCACAGCCTTGGAGGAGGGAGCCAAGGCTTCCGACTTGACGAGACCTGGGCTGCCTGCCTTTGTCATCTGTTTTAACAGGCATATGGACAGGCCTCACCCAAAGGCTACCCTCAACACCACTATTTGAGCCAGCTAGTGTGCAGTGTCAGTTCCCGGAGGACACACACAAATCTTTTCTTAGTTAACTGCTTGATAAATTTTCCTTCCCTAGATAGCACCCAAAATGTGTGTGGGTGAGCTGCCCTTCACAGAGGGAGCCACTGATCTGCTCACCACCCCTGTGCAACGTGGCCACTCGGCAGGAATACAGATTCTAGGTAAGGCACTAAATAAAGCAGCGGAAGCCAAGACAGCCATCCCCTCCTGCCTGCCAACTCACTGCACAAAGAGCGACTCTGCCCCAGATCTGCGCCTTCTGGGAACCACCTTTAACCCCAGACAGCGCCAGCCTGTCTTCCCCAGCAGCTTAAACTGACACCTGGCCAAACCCCTGTACCCCTGAACATGGGCGGGGCTCCACAGAACACCCGGGCTGCATCCGTTCCCAGCAGGACTGGCTACAAAATGTTCAGGGCCCAAGGCAAAATGAAAATGAAAAGGCCTTTGTTCGAAAATTATGATACATTTGGGCCAGGCAGGGTGGCTCACGCCTGTAATCCCAGCACTTTGGGAGGCCAAGGTGAGCGGATCATTTGAGGCCAGGAGTTCGAGACCAGCCTGGCCAACATAATGAAACTCCTTCTCTACAAAAAGGACAAAAATTAGCCAAGCATGATGGCACATGCCTGTAATCCCAGCTACTTGGAAGGCTGAGGCACGAGAATCACTTGAACCCGAGGCGGAGGTTGCAGTCATCCGAGAACACGCCACTGACTCTAGCCTGGGCAACAGAGCAAGACTGCATCTCAAAAAAACAAGAAACAAAAAACAAAAATTATGATACATTTGGAGATGATTAGGGTGGCTATTATTTAAATAAATAACGAATGTCAGTAAGGACCTGAAGCAGCAGAAACCTTGTGCACTGGTCACGGCAACGTAAAATGGTGCAGCCACAGAAAAACCATTTGGCAGTTCCTCAGAAGTTAAATATACAACTACTGTATGATCAGGCAATACCAACATAACTGAACGCAGGGGCTTGAACAGAAACTTGTACACCAAGGTTCACAGCAGCATTGTTCACAATAGCCAAAAGGCAGACACAACCCAAACGTCTACCAACAGATGAATGGCTAAAATGTGGTATGTACATATAATGAAATATTACCCATACCTAAAAAAGGAATTGCTGACACATGCTACAATGTGGATGAACCTTGAGGACATTATGCTGAGTGAAATAAGCCAGTCACAAAAGGACAGAAGCTGTGTGATTCTACTTACATGAAGTTCTTAGAGTAGCCACATGCATAAAGACAGAAAATAGCACAGCGGCTGCCAGGGGCTGGGAGGAGGAGGGAATGGGAGTCAGTGTTTAATAGGAACAGAGTCTGTCTTCAGGAAGAAGGAAAGACTTCTGGCAATGGATGGTGGTGATGGTTGCCCAACAAGGTGAATGTGTTTAATGCCACTGAATTGTATACCTAAAAATGGTTCAAATGGGAAATTCTAGGTTATATGTATCTTGCCACAATAAAGAAAATAGAAAAAACTTTTCAAGATGTGACAGCAGAGCCCAGGGCCATTCTGAGGTTTTGGGGGGTGCCTACAGAGCAGCGCAGGCCTCAGGCCCCTGGCGTCGGCTGTGATTCCCAAGAAGGCCTCTCTTTCCAGGACTCAGCTGCCTCGTCTGCAGGGGCAGGCCTCTCCAGCAGCGCTGCTCTGAGCCTGATGAGCAATGTTCTGTTTTAATAGTCATTTCAATTGACTATAAAAATACAGCAACACATAATAAGATTGCTTTTGCACCATAGTAGAAATACTTAGCAAGAGATGAGAAATACTTAGCAAGAGGCTATAAAACCCTGTTTGCTTGCTTACAGAGGTGCTGCTGAGCAGAACGAAAGCAGACAAGGATAAAGGGCAGGCAGGGGAGACTTTGCCCAGAAAGCACCCACAACAGTGTGCCCACCGTGATACCCAACACACAGGACCACTCGGAAGTTTTAAAAATGTACCAAGCAAACTACTGAAGATCTCTCCGCATTTTCTGTTTGTTTCATTTTTAGCTATTAAAGCTCCATGACATCTGACATCAGAAAACACTCATCTCCCTGCAGCTCCCCAATGCTCCACCTGACTCACCTGTAACATGTTTCAGGTGACATCAAAGCTGACCACTGACCACAATGCCCTCGAACCCCAATACACATAGAGCAAGGCTTCCCCCACCAACACAGCTCCTGGGAAAAATCTCAACCACAAATGAGGGATATTCTACCCACACTCATTCCCAGGAGGCCTATGACACAAAGGCATTCAGCTGAAAAATGGGAGCTCCACTGATGACAGTGTACTAACACCAGCACCTCCACTGCCATCACCACCAATTAACAATACTACCACCACCAACACTACCAAAACTGCTACCAATAGTATTACTACTACTACCACTTCCACTACCATCACCACCTCCACCGCCATCACCACGGATGACAATACTACCACCACCACCATCACTGATAACACTACCACCACCAACACTATCAAAAATGCTACCAACAATACTACCACCACTACCACCTCCACTGCCATCACCACCTCCACTGCCATCACCCATAACACTACCACCACCACCATCACCAATACTACCACTACCAACACGACTAAAAATACTACCAACAATACTACCATCACTACCAGCTCCACTGCCATCACCGCCAATAACAATACTACCTCCAGCAACACTACCAAAATTACTACCAACAATGCTTTCACCACCACCATCATCAATACTTCACCACCACCATCACCAAAATACTACCACCACCACCATCACCAACAATACTACCACCACCACCATCACCAACAATACTACCACCACCACCATCACCAACAATACTACCACCACCACCACTACCAAATATACTACCAACAATACTACCACTACCACCATCACTACCACATCACTAATAATACTACCAACAAAAAAATACTATCACTACCATCACCAACAATACTACCAATAACAACAATACTATCACCAACACCACATCACCAACAATATTACCAACAATAACAATACTACCACATCACCAACAATACTCCCACCAATACTACCACCACCACCATCACCAATGATACTGCCAAGAATAACACCACCACCAACACTACCAACAATACTACCACATCACCAACAATACTACCAATAACATCACCAACACTACTAACAATAATACCAACAATAACAATATTACTACCATCACCAACAATACTACCAACAATAACAATAATACCCCATCACCAACAATACTACCAACAATAACAATATTACCACCATCACCAACAATACTACCAAGAATAACAATACTACCACATCACCAACAATACCACCACCAATACTACCACCACCACCATCACCAACAATACTACCAATAACATCACCAACACTACTAACAATAATACCACATCACCAACACTAACAATACTACCACATCACCAACAATACTACCAACAATAACAATATTACCATCACCATTACCAACAATACTACCAACAACAACACTACCACCACCACCATCACCTACAATACTATGAACAATAAAAATACTTCTACCACCACCATCACCTACAATAGCACCAACAATAACAATACTACCACCACTACCACTATCACCTACGATATTATGAACAATAACAATACTTCTACCACCACCATCACCTACAATACTACCAACAATAACAATACTACCATATCATCAACAATACTACCACCACCATTGGTTACTTAAATGAAGTAGGCTGGCCAGGCATGGTGGCTCACGCCTGTAATCCCACCACTCTGGTAGGCCAAGGTGGGCGAATCACAAGGTCAAGAGATTGAGACCATCCTGGCCAACATGGTGAAATTCCATTTCTACTAAGAAAACAATAATTAGCTGAGCCTGGTGGCACACACCTGTAGTCCCAGCTACTCAGGAGGCTGAGACAGGAGAATCGCTTGAACCCAGGAGGCGGAGGTTGCAGTGAGCTGAGATTGTGTCACTGCACTCCAGCCTGGATGACAACAGTGAAACTCTGTCTCCAAAAAAAAAAAAATATGAAGAGGCTGAAGTAAAGTTACAAAGTCATTTAATCAGTATACACCCAATGTAAATGAAGAGGCTATTTCCTGTCACAGCGTGTTTCCATTTTATTTAGTTCTAAGAAGTCCTTCGGTTTCCTGCCTCCAGGCCCTATTCTCCTGCCTCAATACTATTAATACCAACAACAATACTACCACTACTACCATTGTCGCCAATACTACAAATAACAATACTACCACCACCAACAATACTACCACCAACACCACTACCAAAAACACTACCAACAATACTACCACCACCACCACAATCACCACCAACACATCACCAACAATACTACCAACAGCAATACTACCAACAAAAACAACACTACCACCATCACCACTATCACCAACAATACTACCAACAATACTACTACTACCACTACCAACACTACCAATACTATCAACAATACTACCACCACCACTACCAATACTATCAACAATACTACCACCATCACCACTATCACCACCACTATCACCAACAATACTACTACCAATAATACTACCACCACCATCACCAGTACTACCACCACCACTATCACTAATACTACCAATACCACCACCATCACCGATACTACCACCACCACTACCAATACTATCAGCAATACTACCACCATCACCACTATCACCAACAATACTATCACCACCACTATCACCAACAGCACTACTACCAATACTACCACCACCATCACCAACAATACTAACACTGCCAACAATACTACCAAGAATACTACCACCACTCTCACCAATGCTAAAACACTCCCAACAATACTACCATCACCATCACCAGTACTACTATAACCAACAATACTACCACTTCACCACCCCCACCAACATCAATACTACCAACACAATCACCACCAGCAATATTACCACCACCACCATCACCGCCAACAGCAATACTACCAACCACCATCATCAACAATAACATCACCAACATCACCAGCACCACCGCTATCACCAGCACCATCATCATCATGGTAGAGCTAAACTTCATTCTGCCCTGGGAAAGACAAGAAACTCCAAAGAACACTTGATGCATTTCCTCACATCATCCCATATTAGCCCTATGAAGTAGGGCTAACAGCAACCCCATTTCTGCACACAAAGACTCTGAGGCAAAGAGCAGGAAGAAGGAGGGCATGCTGCCGCCCCGCCTCCAGGCATCATGTGGCCTTGCTCTGAGAACAGCACTCCCAGCACATCCCAAACAAAGAGTAACTGTACTGCTGCATCCACAACAAAGGCTGCAGAGTCCCTCTCTCTGCAACCGATTTCCCTTTGCTTCAAAGGGACAGTGACAATTCTGGGCAGTGTCAAAGGCCCCATTGCCCTTATTCCAGAAAGCCCTTGAGACAGGATGAAATAACAATTCCATTAATCCCATGAACGGAACCCCAGTCTAGAGGAGACAGAGCCTTTCCATGTCACAGCTAGGCTAAGCTGACCCTGCAGGCGAGCACAGACCAGACCTCCAATCATCCAGTCAATCCAGACCGACTAACAAATATTTACCACCCAAGATCCCAGGTAAGAACTGCCACCCAAAGAGGAGACAAGACATGATACAGATAAGCTGCGGCGAACTCAAATTAGGAACCAGCTCTCCAAATAATAATAAACTAGGAAAAGCTGTAATGAGAGCTCTTAGCCCCTTACCATGGAACAGCCACTGACTGCTTCTCGTGGACTACCCAATTTATCTAATTTCATTATCACAAAAACTTTACAATGGAGGGATTACTACTCAATCCCATTTCACAAATGAAAAAAAAAAAAAATGAGGCTTAGAGAGGACATTAGATGGTTGCTCAAAGACACAGGTCTGAAGGGTGGGAGAAACCAGCTTTGGGGGGCTAATTTTTCTGACCCAGTTTCTGTCCCTAGCCACAACACTGCATGCTGCATAACACGCAGCTCCACACTCTGAAAAAGCACAGCCCTCGCACCGACAGCCAGACAGAGCTTTGCCTCTCTGGCCACTCTCCCTTTGGTGCTCCCTGAATAGCCCTCATAAAACCAACCAGAGACATGTCAAAACAAAAGTCACAAAAAATATCACCCAATATCATACAAGGACTGTCACAAGCAAACCTTGTCACAAAGTTCTTTTTAGGTGAAATATTCTTGAGTAATACTTTTCCCCTCCAGATCCTTCCTCCATCAGTCAAACGCCTACATTTTGCTGTCTAACATGAATTTATAGTTATAGCACAGAAAGGACATTCAACACCCGATGCTCTCATCACAGAGAGATCCATCCATGTCCCAGTTCTGCCCTTGCTGCTCTGAAATTAAGCAGGGGATGTACTGATGCCCTGGGAAAAAGGGTTTCACAAGAATGGGTCTCATCATAGGACCAACCCTCACACACCTACCCATTTTGGACTGCCATGTACAGCTGGTAGGTTTGTTCACTGCCAAAGGCTCAGGGCTGAAGGGACACGTGGGAGCCGAAATCCTGCCTGGGTTGCACTTGCCAAGCAACATGTCCACCCAAGGAGTGCCTTCCTGGAATCCCCAGAGGCACTAGATGGCTTAGGGGCTGTCCTGCGGCTCCCCACTCCCCACAGGGAGAGGGCTGCAGGAGAGCAGGAGCTGGGTGTGTTAACCCCATGTCTTCAGGCCCAGGTCACCATCAATAAGCACCTTCAGGACTCAATGGAGATGGATCAGCAAACAAGTGCAGAGGGGAACCCAGAGTGCCAGGCGGGCAGCAAGGACAGGGTGCACCTCCCCCCAGCAGAACCTGCACCACTCCCAGAAAAGGTCAGGATCCCGAAGGGTGGCCAGGGACTCGAGGCAAAGACGAAAGCTCAGTTATAAAGGGAGCAGGGTCCAGGGGATGGGCCCGGGCCACGGAAAGGGATTCTGAACACCCAGTTTGCTGGGCCCAGGCATATGACTAGCTCCACATCTGCCTTCTCACGCAACCCCAGTACTGCCCTGGGCCAGGCCCAGCACACACACCCTCAACCTCAGGACAGGTAGCGGGAACCAGGTTCCCTTCGACGGAGAGGATGGACAATCCAGCCCAAAGGACCAGAGCAGCTCAGAGTGATTCCAGGGAAGGGAAGCTTGGGATCCAGGCTGGACGGCAGCTGCACAGCAGGGCGCCCACATCACAGGCTCTGAGAGGTAAGGATTCCTGGGAAGCAGTGCCTCTGGCTCAGTGTACCTGACCCTGCAACCCCACGTCGGGAAACTTCCCTTCTCCATGTGTGGCCTAGAGCATTTTGAGGGCCCTGGTCCAGGGTGCCTACCCCGATCCCACTCCAAGTAAGAAAGAGGTTCAGCCAGATGCCCTCAAAAGGCCCGGCTGGACACTACTACCACCTTCACCACCCTCGCCAGCAACATCAATACTACCAACACGATCATCACCAGCAGTATTACCACCACCACCATCACCACCAACAGTAATACTACCAACCACCACCATCACCACCAACAGTAATACTACCAAGCACCACCATCATCATGGTAGAGTTAAAACTTCATTCTGCCCTGGGAAAGACCAGAAACGCCACTAACACCACATCATCCCATATCAATCCTAAGAAATAGGGCTAACAGCAACCCCATTTCTGCACGCAAAGACTGAGGCAAAGAGCAGGAGGAAGGAGGGCACGCTGCTGCCCAGCCTCCAGATACCAGTCCTTTGCCTCAGCTCTGGCCAGGCCGAGGGGGCCGCATCTCTCCCCAGTCACAGGCTAGGGATGGGGAACAGGATCGGACCTGCATTCTCGCTGCACTGATCTGCTTCACAATGAGCGTCTGACCCAAGAGGGGAGCCTGTCCACTGTGACCATGAGATAGGCGCTGACGCGCTTCCTCCAGTAAAGAGTGGACAAGTTATTCACGACAGTCAAACGCTGGGGAAACCATGTCGCAAGTGTCCATCAAGAGACGAACAATTAAACAAAATGTGGGCTATGCATGCAGTGAAATATTCTTCAGAGCAAGGAAGTGTTGACGGGTGTTGTGACATGGATGAACCCGGAAGATACCATGCTCTGCGAAATTAGCCAGACACAAAAGGACAAATCCTGTGCAATTCCATTCATATGTGGCTCCTAGAGTAGTCAAATTCAGAGAGAGAAAATATAATAGACTAGAAATTAACGGAGGCTGAGGGGACAGGGAATGGAAAGTTAGCTTTTTCTTTCTTTTTTAGATGAAGTCTCGCTCTGTTGCCCAGACTGGAGTGTAGTGGTGCGATCTCGGCTCACTGCAACCTTCGCCTTCTGGGATCAAGCAATTCTCCTGTCTCAGCCTCCCAAGTAGCTGGGATTACAGGTGTCCGCCACCACATCCAGCTAATTTTTGTATTTTTAGTAGAAATGGGGTTTTGCCATATTGGCCAGGCTGGTCTTGAACTCCTGACCTCAAGTGATCCACCCACCTCGGACTCTCAAAGTGCTAGGATTACAGGCGTGAGCTACGGCGTCTGGCCAAGAGTTAGGTTTTAATGGGTACAAAGTTTCTGCCTGGGATGGTGAGAGTCTTGGAAACAGAGAATGTGTAGCACAACACTGTAGATATACTTCATGCCAATGAAATGTGCATTTTAAAAGGGTTAAAAGGGAAAATTCTATGTTATATATATTTTTCCATAAATTTAAAAAATTAATGTAATATGCCAAAAACCATAGAACTGTACACTGTAAATGATACATTGCATGGTATGTGAGTAACTGCTCAAGAAAGCTGTTTAAAAAGTCTCTGCCTATCAGGTCAACATTCACCAGCAAGTGAATGCCGCAAACCAAACCTGAACATTCTAAGTTGTTATGCTCAATAAAGCACCGTGGCAATCATGAGATGCATGGCAGAGACGTGCTCAAAACCCCCTGCTCTTGGCCACTCCGACACTAAGTTGCCTGCATCAGCAAAGTGCCAGAAACTTCAAAGAAACTGCTCACGACCGCCAGCCATACAGTATGTGCATCTGCACCCAAGTGGATTCATGAATGTGTGTTTCTCGGGACTGGAAAAGAGGCCGGTAGCAGCAAACCCAGATGCACAGCCAAGCACGTCCACATGTAAAGTAAAGAGTATTTGACTCACTTCATTCATTTCCTAAAAGAAAATCCATAAAAATGATCCCATTGAGTATGGGCTGGACCTAGTGACCCACTTCTAGCCAATAAAATACTGCCAGTGATGGGATGTCACTTCCATGATTCGGTTACAAAACGGCTCTGACTTCTGCCTTGTGTGCTCTCT